TCTCTCTCTCTCTCTCTCTCTCTCTCTCTCTCTCTCTCTCTCTCTCTCTCTCTCTCTCTCTCTCTCTCTCTCCGGTTTGCCGAGGCAGAAGTTCAGGCGCTTGACGAAGAAGCGCTGCGTACGGATCACCGAACATACATATGTCATACGTATATATAAGAGAGAGAGAGAGAGAGAGAGAGAGAGAGAGAGAGAGAGAGAGAGAGCAAAGAAGGGCCGTTTGCGGTGGCCGTGGGTCGACGGGTTTGGAGGGGTTGGGTTTGGTGTTTGGGGTTTCATTCGGGGTGGGTTTGGGCATGAAAGTGCTTTTCCTCCTCCGTAAGTTCCAATCCGTCATTATCCGAGTCGGACGGGGGCCAAATAAAAAAAAAAATATATATATAAATTTCAACGCCGAAAACAAAAAAAACATTTGACAACGAGAACCACCATTGATGGAGGTAACAAAAATAAAAAAATGCAAAAACAAAAATCACAAAACGGAACGAAAAAAAAAAAAAAAAAAACACTGACAGGTGCCGTTTCCGCGAACGGCCACGTTCGCATAAGCGGGAAGCCGGAAGGGGTGAGTGAAAACGGGGAAAAAACAACAAACAGGCACACACTCTGCATATGGACAAATGCGTACGTACACGAAACGGCAATGCCCATATACAGAAGAACAAAGAAAAAAATTGGAAAAACACTAAATAAAATTAATACAAGGGTGTCGCGGCGGGAGAGAGGGGTTGTCAATCGGGGGTTTCATTTCCAAAAAAAAATAAAACAAAAAATATATATATATATATAACAACCAACGGACACAGTGCCAGTGAGATGGCGGACGGGTCTTTTCAGAGAGAGAGAGAGAGAGAGAGAGAGGGGGGGAGAGAGAGAGAGAGAGAGAGAGAGGGGGAGGGAGGGACGCCGGAGAGAGGACACTAACCGATCGTCGCTGCGATGGATGTCAGCTGCAAACTCGAAGCTGTCATTTCGATGTTGAAGTTGACATCTATGACAGCGACAACACTCTAATATACAAGCCGAGAGAGAGAGAGAGAGAGAGAGAGAGAGAGAGAGAGAGAGAGAGAGAGAGAGAGAGAGAGACGTGAGGTGACACATGTGTCAACTTCGTGCCATGCACGCATGATAGCCAATCGCCGGGAAGACATGATGTCATCCGAACCGGCGATTGGCCCTCACACACACACACCTTGGCCTCTACACACACACACACACACACACACACACACACGCGCGCGCGCGCGCGCACGACGATAGGACGCGCCGCTGGCGATGGCAACCGTCCGTCCGCCGGCGTGCGCGCGACGACGGGACACGCCGCTGGCGATGGCAACCGTCCGTCGGCAACCGTCCGTCGGCCGGTGCGCGGACGACCAACCAAACGCACTACCGGTCGCCGGCGAACCGACACGGCCCTCACAGCCCGAAAAAAATACAAAAAAAAAAAATACAAAAAATTTGTGACGGCCTCCCGCAATGCCACCGGCCACAGGTATCCCGTCCGACTGTGCGAGAGGCCGACTCCCCAAAAGTGAAAACGCAATTTCTCCAAAAAAATTCTAATAACTACCGAAAACGAAAAGTACCGCGGGACACAGACTCGGCAAAAATCGGCGCGCACTATAAATGAGGGTCGGCAAAAACAGGCTCGGAGGTACTGGTGGTTTAATCCAAAAAAGAAAATATGGGGTTAGGGGCTTTTTTTTTTTGTTTTTTTTTTAGGTCTTTTCAAATCCTACAACCTCCTATTTTTTTGGTCTATTTTTTTTTTTTTTATATGACAATTTCCCAGCTGCTCCCGACCACCAGGGCCGCGGCCTGCAGTGGAAATCCCTATAGCAATCTGAGTTTTACCCCGCAGTCATGACCGCGTGGGACACATAGCCTGCTGGAAAACGGGTCCAGTGTCCCATCCACATTTTGAATAAAGCACCAGCCGCACCGGTGACCCCCCCCACACAGAGTCTTGGAGTTGTGTATAGTGAACACGACAAAACATAAACACAGCATAATCACCCCATAACACCTCCCCAACCACATCAACAAACAAACTACGGGCTGCGCACCCGTGCCCTCACGAAGTCAATCTTCCGGTGCAGAAGTGATGTCCCCACGTTATATTCGGGCGCAGATGGTACCCACGAGTCGAAACCCGTACTGAGTGCTTTTTGAAGCGAGAGCTCTGCAACGTCCATGGTCCATGGGACTTGGGCGAGTTCTTTCGCACATCTAGAAGTGGAGCTTGACCACTTTTGTGGGGTCTGACCGGCGCCGCCGAGGGGTGAGGTCTGTGGCAAAGGGACTCGGCGACAGACAGTGTGTGCGACGCAGTGCGGCATATAACTGTCAGAGAGTCGCAGACTCACTGACACGAAGTGTGACATCCAGAAGCAGAGCGACGCAGTGCGCGACTTCACGGCTGCAGTTTGTTCTGACCTACAGAGGTTTGACTCTCTTTGACTGAGTGGGCGGGACTGGCTATGACTGGGCGTGACTGTCTGTGACGGGCGGCGCTGAGGGGCCACGTCCGTAGCAAAGGACGTGGAGACGGACCCAGCATGTGAGACGCAGTGTCACAGATAAGCGTCAGACTGTCGCACACTGACTGACACGAAGTGTGGTTTTCGGATGGAGAGCGACATAGAGTCTGACACGCGAGCCGTGACACGGATTCGGACTGACAGGGTTGTGATGTGAGTGTCACGGTGACGGCAACACATGCAGGTGCTACCGTCTTCCCCCGAATAGAACGCCCGGTCAGTACTGCTGCATTTGGTGCAAATCCAGTCCAGTTACAGCGATAATGACCAGGCGTTCCATTTGGGAGAAGTCGGTAGTGGCAGAGGCAAGGTAATCTGACAGAAAGCGGGAAGATTGATTATGTCAGTGTCACGGTTACAGAGTCTGACGTCTGACAAGCAGGTGCTAGTGACAGAAGCAAGGTAATCTGCAGCTGTCAATGTCACAGTGTCAGACTGACAACTGCAGACATCTGCAGGCTTTCTGACAGTCTGACAAGTCAGCCCCCCGTGACAGTTGGGCTGCAGCTCGACAAGGGTCGCCCAACGCTGCACTACTGTAGCACGTGACAGACCGCACGCAGAGAGAGGGCCTCATATTTTTCAGGCAGCATCTTACTCCAGATCATCGGCACCTGGACAGACACTTAGTCCACGTTCCGACACCCGAACACCAAGAAGAAAGATTGACGGAGACTTGACAGACGCGCACAACAGCACCAACGATTGGATCCTGATCAACCATGCGAGGTAGACGGGATCGCGATGGCAGCACAACACTATCGGGACGCCAGAAGATTAGCATGATGGCCCCTGCGCGAGCGTGGCACGCACAAGTCGAGAAACGGTCCAACATTTTGTTTTGACTAATAGCGAAAGAAAAAACAAAAAAAACCCGCGAAATTACGCGGGAGTCAGAAAAGGACTTTGAAAATACACTTTGGGCAAAAACCAGTTTCCCAAATTGCACGTCGGGCAATGTATACAAGCTAGCTGTCCGGTCAGGTAGGGGGGTTGCGTGGGGGTGTGCTGTCTTTTGGCGGGAATTGTCGACGTGTAATTTCGCACTTTTGTTTTCGTGAATGCGTGCGCTGCGGTGCGCAGTGCTGCCCGCCTGAGTGCTCGCTACTACATGCATTCCTTCTTTTTTTTTTTTTTTTTTTTTTTTAAACGGAATTGCAAAATTCAAAGGAGTAGTGATGGGTAGGTAGTGTGAGGTGAAATTACGAGAAGAATGTAGCTTACTTTACTTTTTGGAAAAAAAAGAAAAAGAAAAAGAAGAAAAAAAAAGGAGGGGGATTGAAGAGAAAGGTAGGTTCCAACATCGTTCTTGCGCGAAGATGGCAGCTCAACACGATGCCGTGGTCCCCTTCGCTCGGTACAACAAGCATATACTGTCGGGACCTGGAATCCCCGAGAGCACACGCCCTCCATTGACTGCCTCCCTGCTGGGCAATTGGGTGCAAGAGAGAGCGCTGCAGAAGAAGACAGGAGTGTCGAGGTACACACCATGGGCGCTTCCACGGCAGACTACGAATGGCGTTTACGCGAAGAAGGTATTAATACTAGAGCCAGAGGACACCAGAGGACGAGTAATGGGGTTCAACATATATAAGAAGGGAGATGTCATAGCGCCAGATCATTTCTTGACAACGAACAGGGCACATTTCACACCCCCACCGATCAGTGCATACTACTCGGACGAAGAGGAGGAAGGAGAAGTGGCGGAGAAGAAGAGGAGGGAGAGGTGGGAGAGGAGACAGGAGGAGGAGGAGGAGAAGGAGAAGGAGAAGGAGAAGGAGGAGGAGGAGGGGGAGGGGAGAAAGAAGAAGGAGGGGGAGGGGAGAAAGAAGAAGGAGAGGGAGGAGGCGGCAATCTGTCGGTGCTATAACTATAAGGGAAAGGAGAATAAGGAGAGAGAAGAAGAGGAGGTGGTACAGGAGGAGAAGAAGAAGGAGGAGGAGGAGGAGAAGAAAGCAGGTAGCCAGATCATGGCTGAGAGCAAAAAGAACAGAGAGGAAGAAAGAAACGAAGAGGAGGAAGAAGAGAAAGAAGAGAAAGAAACGGACGGCGATGATCGTCATTGTCATCTACATTCTCCGACATCGCCATACTCCTGTGTTTTTCCTCGCGCTGTTGGGCTAGATGATATCAACACTTACGATGATGCCATTACCGTTTACAGTACAGGACGACCGGGGCAGTTCTACCGGTCGTCCAGGCAACGACCAGGGCTTTTCCGGAAGTCCGCCCACTTCAGCAAACCACTCTCTGATTACTCCAAAGTGCTCATTAACGAATAACGCACCATCAAGCAGATTCACTACTCTCTCTCTCTCTCTCTCTCTCTCTCTCTCTCTCTCTCTCTCTCTCTTTCAAAGGCGCGAAGCATGCGCGTCTCTCTCTCTCTCGCGCTCTCTCTCGCTCGCTCGCTCGTTCGACGTGATTCGCTCGCACCTCTCTCTCTCTCTCTCTCTCTCTCTCGATTTCAAAGGCGCGAAGCACGCGCGTGCACACACACGCACACTTTGCGCGCGCGCCCACACACACACACTTTGCGCGCACGCACACACACACACACTTTGCGCGCGCGCCCACACACACGCACTTCGCGCGCACACACACACATACACACAGTCCGACGAAACAGTATGCCACAGTCATTGCTTTTTTTTAGTGCATAGCGAATATGACAACACGCACACATGCACATACGCACTCTAAATAAACGGCTTTTTTTTTTCTTTTTCTTTTTCTTTTTTTTTTTGGACAACCAACTTAGCAATTCATTACAAAAAGGGGAGGCTGAAAATCCCTCCACAAACGACCCGGAAAACAAGCTTCTGGGACCTCTACCCAGCATAGGTACAGGCGTTGGGAGAATGTCCAGATCAGAAATGGCCAAATCTTAGACCGCTGGATCTGACCTCTCGCCAACCCTGGAGAAAACAAAGAAACCATCACGGACTGAAAAACCTGACAAACCTGACAAGCCAAAAAGAAAAGGAGAGGGCGAGGTACCAGGCTCCGCGGCTGTCTCGGTGACCAAGGTATCGTATCGTCAAATCTTCAACATCGAGGCGGCCATTGCGCCCCTTGACCGCATGGTTCGCCATGTCCTGAGTGGGCAACGGCCCCTGAGGGGTCGGGCTCTCCCTCCTGGTAGCGGCCTGGTTACCGCCCCAGCCATTCGGTTTGAGCCCTTTGGAGTTCCTGGACTGCAAGTGTGGAACGAAGAAGACAACAGCGACCTGCGAAGCTAACCCCTCGACGGGGTCTACGTGATGGTGAAGATTTTCGGAGATGGTATTGTTGTGAATTCCCAACATCCCTCATTGAGTGTCTGGTAATGTATTAAGTATTTATTGTATGTTGATCAAGGCCTCCAACAGTATTGGTCTAGGTTGAAGCAGGGTTTGACCATGGAGAGTTCATCATCAGTTACTCGAGTGCATTCCCCTGAGGAGAAGAAACAAATAGGAAATCTGCTGGACGCGTGTTTTAAAGATGGAATTTTCCTTGCTGGTCTCAGTATAGGAGTAGCCCAACTGAGTGATGACATCACGAGGTTTGATTTAAATGAAGAATTCTCCAATTTGAATATTCAATGGCTGAAAGAACACGGAATAACAGTCATGTTTGAAAATGAGTCTACGACACTATCCAACTCTTTGAAAAAGAAATTGGTAAAGAGTGTACAAAAATGCGTGGTACGATGCTGGAATTGTGAATGAATCGGTGACGAGAGGAAGGTACCAAAGTGAGGGTAAAAAATTGGTATCTTTCGTCTTATCCAAGAAATCCTTAATCCAATGGATGCTTACGAAGGAGGAGGATAAAATCCAATGTGAGGACAAAGAGTACAATGTCCGTTTTTTGCCATGGATGACCATTTTCAAGGACAGGGGCTCGAAAGTAGTATGGGTCCGCTGTCCTCGGGTGCCACTACAGTTGATGTCTACCTTGAGAACAGCAATTAAAAATACTTTCGGTGAAGCCCAGAAATCCTACCCCACGGAGCAAGACGACGAGGAGCCTGAATTGGGCAGTGTACGGCTCGATCTAGGATTCGTTCGAGGCTAGCTGTGGGAATTCCTAACCAGGGAGAGTATTGTTTTGAGGTGTTGTCCACAAACACTCCCTGGTGTAATGTTTGTCATTCCTTTTACCACATGGAGATCAGTGATATTTATCCCACAAGGGAGATTGACCTTTTGAAAATTCAGGCCCACGTCAACCACCCTCAGAACCACCGTTTTCCAGTTTGTACTGAAGGGAGAAACTCCCCCGACAAACGGTTTTCGACGTTTGCCAAAGGGAGACTGGAAGGTAGCACCCAGACCGACAATGTACCGAATCGTCAGAACAACAGACGAGGACCGAAAGGGGATAAATCCAGAAAGACAAGGGAAAGAAGGGAGGGGCGAAGGGGGTAAAGGCCGTGATCTTAATGAAAAGGGCTCGATGGGGAGACGTGAGAAAGAGAGAGAAAGAGAGAGGGGTAGACAAAGAGAAAGTGAAAAAACAGGAACGCGAGAGAGAAAGGAACAAGGAAAGAGAGAGGGAACGGGAAAGGGAAAGGGAAAGAGAAAAGGTCAAGGAGAGGGAAAGAGAGAGAGAAAGAGAGTCTTTGAGAGAAAGAGGGAAGGAAAGAGAAAGGGGTAGAGATAAGGGGAAAAAAAGATGGTTCGCAGTGTCAAAAGACAAGGAGGTGAAAAAACTCCAGAAGACAAATCTCGGTAATAAGGAAACAAAAGCCATCATGGAGGAATCGATGGTAACATCCTGTTTAGAAAGCCGCCGAAACCATGGTCCAATGGATGAGGATCTGGTAGGTGGGACAGGTGGAACCGGAAATTGGGGTAGTGGAACTGACCAATGAAGAGACAGATCAGGTGGAGTTGATAAAGTTTGCAAAAAAATCCTCTCTTCCCGGGGGGCTGATGATCGCAGACTCATTGGAACCTTTGGATCGAACAAATTTGAATATTCAGAAAGTGCTAATTCCATTGATCTGCGCAAGCTCGAATAAACGAGGTATGGTCATGGCAACCCAGCTTGCAAATGGCCTACTCGAACTTCCTACAACGAATGCTGAAGGAGAACTAATGGAGCTGGCCATCTTGGAAAAAGCCAAACCCCTTATCCCAAATTTCCTACAGGTAAGGGTGATCCCAACAATACGTAGTGGATGTTTCACAACAGACTCGGAAGATGGTAATGGTATCAGGGTCCACCTATATTTTGTTTTCCTGGATGCAAAGATGGATAATACTACCATGAACCAATCGGCGACGATGGACAAACATTGGTTTCCGTTGTCCGTCCTTGATTCCCCCTTGAATAAAAACCTGAATAAGATTTTGTTCAAACAAACAATGACTGCAAAAACAATTGCTCACTGGTTGGTTACTTCTGCGTTCAGAGAGGTGATCTTCCAGCCTGAATTTGCAAATGTTTTGCGAGTCCCTTGGGTGGAATAGCAAAACCTAAAAAGGGGAGAAGGGGCTCGTTGGCGGAAGCAACTGGATATGAACACATTAGTACCAGGCCGGATCCAAGACCTTTTTGGCGCTACCACGACCTATGCTGCCTAAGGGTTTTTTTGGCATAGTGTCGTGGAATGTCAGAGGCCTTTGTGATGCTAACTACAAATACAAAAGAGATAGGTTGAAATCATGGTTGCATTACAATAAATATGCAATTGTCTGTATCAAAGAGTCAAAACTGGATGAACAAAGATTAATCATTGAGGCCTCTTGGTGGTCGGACCCTCAGTATTGGGTTCCAGCGAGAGGCACAAGTGGGCAAACAGGTACATGTGGAGGGACATGCATCCTACTCCACAGAGATCTAGAAACGATTGTAATCGACTTTATGGTAGATCTATGGGGCCGTTGGATGTGGGTTAAATTAACAGTGAGAAAGGAGGACTGAACAATTATGTCATTGTACCTCCCCACAGACTATAATGAACACTCACATTTTATTGCAGAGCTCCCCAGTTTAATCCCACACTCAGACAATTTGATCCTGGCTACAGATCGGAATATTGTCTTAAACCAAGGATTACATTGCCCTAAAGTGACAATATTGTCTGAAACCAAGGATTACATTGCCCTAAAGTGACACCTATCAAAACAGATGCAAGACTGTTGCATGCCTCTATTGTTTCGCAAAATCTGACGGATGCCTTCAGGACACTGCACCCAGATAGCTATGGCTATACTTGGTTTAGATCCCAAACCTCCTTTGTTCGAAGGAGACTCGACTATTTTTTAACAAGGGGCAGTTCATGGACGAACTGTATGAAATTGGAAGTAGACACCTCTTTTTTATCGGATCACCGCCCGGTACAGGTGGAGTTCAACCTCCCACAAAAGAATAACTTTGGACCTTCACATTTTAAATTTAATACAAATCATCTCAAGGACAAATAGTCTAAAATAGGTAGTGGACTGGATTAAAAAACACCTAGATCAATGGTCACAAGCCCATCATCTGTTTGAGGAGGAAAATCGGTGGTTAGAGGTGGGATCAGAATTCTGTGAGGATCTCTGAATAACATCTTCAATATCAAAACACTAAACGATAAAATCCAGGGAAACTCACTAATAGCGAATATATAGAGAGTCAAAGCAGAGCTGGGCAAACACCCAGTTTCCGATGCTTACTTAACAACGAAACGCAGAAGGAAAATCCTAGCATTGGAAAAAATTGTAATTAAAAAACAAGAACAACCGACTCAATGACTGGCCAAACGAAACATAATCTTAGGGGATAGAATGAATAGAGACACATTCTGTAGATTATTGGTGCAAATGGCCGAATCCCCGATGACACAGCTAACCGACCCATTTTCTATCCAACAAACAGTCGCCGAAGACGTAAACCAGATATGCGAATATGCAATATTATATTTTCAAGATATCTTAACAACAACGCGACCTTTTGATAGTATAACCTCGAATCTAAAGGAAAACTCTGACTTTTGGAACCTGACATAGGTTAAGAGTTTTTTTTTTTTTTTTTTTTTTAACACCCCCACCGGTGTTAGTGGTGTTGATAAGAGCAGACACCACTACCATCCAGGGAGAGGCCCCATCTATTGGTGGGGAGCATCACCTGCTGGAAAACGGGTCCAGCGTCCCATAATACAGAATGTAATAAGAGAACATCAAAGATACAATCATGTCAGCATTGATTACCCTGAATTACAGGGGATTGACTAAGCAGGAAGTTGGAAAAACCTTGGGAGAACGACTGGGAAACAGGCTAGAGTCTCACCTCAAGCGAGGTTAGATCTTGACAGACCCGTGATAGCCGAGGAACTACTACGGGCACCCAAACACATGACAAAAGGGAAATGTTCGGGGACGTCGACATACCAATAGAGATT